ATTCCTTTGGGGTTTTTTTGGCAGTAGGGAACTGAGGGCCTTGCTTTCCTTGGCAGGTTGCTCTACCACCTGAGCTATACCGTCAACCCTTTTTTGTTTTACTTATTTTTTGGTAGGGCCTTGGCTTTCTTGTTAGGGGCTGGCCTCCCACTGTGGCCTCCTTCTACTTAGGGCTTGCTGCCTAGCTGTGATCACAGGCACATTACCACCAAGCTCCATCATCCTCTGCTTATTTGTTGAGATAGGTCTTGATAACCTTTTACCCAGATTGACTTTGAACTTTAATCCTTCCACTCTCCACCTCTGGAGTAGCTGGGATCACAGGCTCAAACCACCACGCCCAGTTCCTAAGGATTTTAACATCAATCAGCAGTGAAAAGAAAATCAGGAAGAGTATTAAAGTAGAAAAGTGGCAAGGAAAAAGAGAAAAAAGAACTGAGTCACATCTTAAACATGTTTAGAAGAAAGACAGGAATGGAAGCAGAGGGAATAAGAGTTCAGAATATGGGATATGAAGATTTTTGTCTGCTGTAAATGGTCTCCCCTTATATAAAATAAAAAAAATAGTTACTTAATGGTACGTTTTTTAAATCAAGTTTTAAAAACTATTTTAAGTAAAAAAAAGTTTCTCCTTGGGCTGGGAGCATGGCTCAAGTGGTAGAGCACCTGCCTAGCAAGCACGAGGTCCTGAGTTCAAACCCTACTACCACCAAAAAGAAACAAAAAAACCAAACTTTTCTTCTCACAAGTAGTCAAAGGCTAAGTGTCGTATAAATTTTGGTATCCTGAAAAAATGTAGAAAACTGGCAAAGCATTAAAAAACTTTCATCCAACCATCTATTCACCTGGTGTAGAAGGTCTGCCACTTGCTGGTGATTCCACTTCTTGTATAGCACTAAGTTCATGTTGGTTTAAGTCCAGTCCACATTTAACTTTGGCTACAGGTGGTTTTGAGGCATTTCTACTTGGTTCTTTGTCCAGATGCTCACCTACCGAGAGAACAAGTTAAGCACAATGAAGATCAACAACCATATTATTCTCCAAACAGCAGACTGCAGGGGATGAAAGCAAAATAATCAGCAGAATTACAATAAATGCAATCACCTTACTCTTGTGAGGCACTAGCAGCTTCTGAAAGCAGATGGTTATCATCAGAGGTGTTCCGATCTGCGTAACTATTGCTTTCCTGATCATCTCTTGGTAAGTCTTGAATATTTGGAAGGCACTCTCTGAGCTGCTCCATCTTCTGCATTCTTAAACCAGTTTCAACTGTAGGCTGACTTGCCTGAAAAAGTGGACAGATGAGAGTGGGGATAACACATGTTGAGATTATGTGAGGAGTGCACTACATTTAGATCTCCCTTCTTACATTAGAACCTGAGCAAATAACTAGTTCCATCACTCACATGACTACAATTTTATTCATAGATAAAACATGAGATATGATTCTAATATTAAAAAATTGATCTTCCCATTGAGAAGTACAACCACTCACAGCCCTGGACATAAAAACTTAGCTTCCTCTATACCTCTCCACAAGAGATTATACCTGGTATTCCTCTCTGCTTTAAACAGCATTAACTTCTCTTGGACTCAACCAAGTTCTCCCGAACTTCAAAGAGTTGTAGAACTCTGTTTACACTTAAATAATGAATTTAAGAAATGGCCGACTACAATATGGATACATTCATATTCAGGAGAAAGCCCTCTTGTCTCCAAGAACTATGGTAACTGTCTGAGTGACTAAGCCAGTCTTCTCAACAATTCAGATGCAGGTCCAGCTCTACATCAGCCTAACCCATGCTAGCTTTTTAACAAGTGAAAGCAATGTCAATTAAGGAAAAGAGAGTATTGATTTGATTCACATATAATGTCAACAAAGTGCTATAAAGAACCCAAGGTTTGCTATGACATAAGAAACTTTCTGCTAACCAGTTATGTCTACAATTTTAATCTATAGTAAACTTAAAATTCCTTATAACAAAGTATCAAATAAGAAACTATATACAAGGTGTGGCTCAAATGGTAAAGTACTTGTCTAGCAAGCACAACATCCTCAGTTCAAAACCCAGTACCACAAAAAACAAAAAAACAAAAAAACAAAACATCTATTCTTACTGGGCATGTAGCTCAGTTTACAGTGTTTACCTATCAAGCACAAGTCCCTAGGCTCCATCCCAGCACACAAAGGCAAACAAACAACAAAAGTTTATATTCTTTCATGGTGTTAGCATTTAAAATTAGTTGGGTTCTAACTATTAATCTCATAAAACACCATGAGGTAGATGAATTTTAATTTCACATTGTTTAGGGTAGAAAATAAAAGCACAGGTGAGATCAAATCACTTACTCTCAATAATTCAACACTTGTAGGCCGAGAATTAAATGTGAGTCAGGTTTAAACCTCTACTGTTTAATACTAAGGTATTTAAGTTAAAACATATCTGACCATTATTAAAGAAATCCTTCAGGTCTCTTGATGTTTCTGTATCTGCTGTTGCAATGCTGTTTGTCTCAGTACAAGCGATTCTTCTTGGGCTTTTTGACTATAATGCAAGACTCTTTGTAGATCCAACTGCTTCTTAAGACCCACGTTATCTTGCTGAGCTGAGAAAGGCTGTGAATAACTCAAAAGCCTATCTTGAAACGCTGGTGTCACAGAATCACTGAGGGAGCTGCATGTTCATTTTTAGAATCAACTTCACAAATGCTTTTAGATTTAGCTTCTGCAAAAGGCAGTGGAATGAATGAATGATCTGTTTCCTTGGATAGCAATAAAGAGGGGACAGCATACCCAGCAGATTTATTTTGTTTGTTTAAAAGCTCTGCCTGGGGCTTCTCATTAGGACACACCTCCCTTTCTAAGTCCAACAGCACTGTCAATTCCCTTGCTGAGGCAGAATAGGCTGTGAAGGGCTCAAAAGCCTATCCCGATTGCCTTGGGATCTCGGTATCACTGCTTTTGGTTTGGAAAGACGTTTGGGTTCCTTCAGAGTCAGCAACAGGCAGGGCTACCTGGGATGAAAATGAAGAGGAACTGACCTGCTCCGATGATACCCTTTTCTCCAATTTACTTAATCTTTGCAAAGCAGTTCTTCTTGGAGTTCCTGTCCAGATGAATGGCTTTCCTTTGTACATCTAAGTGCTGCTGAGCGTCTTCAAATCACCATGGTGAGACTGGATAAAATGTTCAGAAGATACCTTTTCCTCAAATTTAAATTGTCTGGGCAACACTAATTCTTTCTGGTTTTTTAACAGAAGGAAAAGAATTTGTCTGTGCATGCAAGTGTTTTGAAGTACAATCAAATTATCTTGTTGAGATAAAACAGTATGTGATAAACCCAGCAGCCTATCAGGAGAAATCAGCGTCTCGGAATGACTTCAGGAGGTTGTATTATTACTGTTAGTTGGACAAAGTTCTTGAGTTCTTTCAGATTCAGTAAGAGGTAATGAAGCAAATGAATGCTGTGAGGAAGAGGTACCGACCTGTTCAGGAGATAGTCTTCCCTTCCAACGTCTCTGTTTATGTAAAAGTATTTCTTCCTGAGCTACCCATCTAGATTGAATGATGGTTTCCCTCTGTGCAGCTACTTGTTCTTGAAGTGCCTTCAAATTACCTTGTTGAGGCTTGATGCACTGTGCTATCTTCGAAAGCCTGTCCTGCAATTCTGGGATCTGAATATAGCTTGCAGTTATTTTATTATTACTGTCTATTGAAACAGGTTCCTGGGTTGTACCAGAGTAGGCAGAAGGTAATGATGTAAATGAAAGCTGTCCTAACTGAGGTATGAATGAAGATAAGCCAGTTTGTTCCTGGGTTGTACCAGAGTAGGCAGAAGGTAAGGATATAAATGAAAGCTGTCCTGATTGGGGTATGAATGAAGATAAGCCAGTTTGTTCAGAAGATGTATTATCTTGGTTTTCTGGCTAAAATGAAAGGCTTCTTTCTCTGTGGCTAGACATTCTTGGTGTTCTTTCAAATGACCTTGTATAGGTAGTGTATCTTGTGAAAATCTCAAAAAACTTTCCTGAAGTCTTAGAATCTTAGAATGGCTTAAAGGACCTGTACTGTTACTCTTGATCGACATAAACTTCTGTAAACCTTCAAATTCAGCTGCCTGGGATGAAGAGGAGGTGCCAGGGCTGCTCAGAAGAAATTCCTTTTTCCAGTTCACTTTGTTTATATACAAATTCCTGAGTTCCTTGTCTAGCTCCAAGTATTACCCTCTGTATATGTGACTGTTCCTGGAATGTTGTCAAATTTTCTTGCCTTGGCAGACCATGCTGTGGAAAGCTAAGAGACTTATCCTGAAATGTTGGAATTATCAAATGGCTCGAGGGAATGATGTTCTGAAATCTCCGAGGCTCAGCTTCGGTAGAAGCTTGAGAAGCGTCTAAATGTTGAGCTGGTGAGACAGGCATATTGTCCCTCAAATTCCTTTGTCTATGTAAAAGTAATTCCACTTGAGCATCAGGTCTAACCTGAAGCATATCCCTCTGTGTGGTCTGCTGTTCTTGGAACAACTTAAAGTTATCGGATAGAGGTGGGAACTGCTGTAGGAAACTCGAAGATCCATCCTGAGATCCTGAGATTTCAGACTGGCTTGAGAAAAGCCCTTTCTCTTTAGATTTTGTATTAGCGAAAGGTAGTAAAGTAAACATGTGCTGAGTTACTTGCTGTGGCAGAAAAGAGGGCTCAGCCTGTTCAGAACATAGCTTTCCATCAATTCATTCTGTTTATGTACAAGTAAGACTTCCTGGGCTTTGCACCTAGCCTGAAGGACATCCCTCTGAATATTCAAATGTTCTTGGAGAAATTTTAAATTACTTTGCTGCAATACCATAGGCTGTGAAAAATGCAAAAGCCTGTCCTCCCATTGTGCAAGCGCAGGATTACCTGAGGGGAGCACAGAAGCTCTGTTGGCTGGAGAAGAATCCTGGAATCTCCCAGGTTCAGCTTTGGCAGAACTCAGTAAAGCATGAATTACAGTCACCACGGGGTGGAGTGCAGAGAGACCAGTGTGTTCTTCCAGTTCTTTTTGTTTATACAAAAGCAGCTGCTCCTATCTTGCCTGAAGAATACTCTTCTGTAGTTCTAACTGTTTTTGAAGGGCCTTCAAATGACCTTGCTGGGCTGCGATAGTCTCTGAGGATGTCAAAGGATGATCGTGTATTTGGCTGATTGGAGAATGGCCTATGGAAACTGTACTTTTGTTTATGATTGAAAGGGGTTCCTGAGTTTTTCCAGACTCAACTTTAACAGGGAGAAAAGTAAAAGAATGTTCAGGTGCCAGTGGTAGGAATGAAGATGGTTCAGTGAGCTTAGAGGATATATTTTCACTGTCATCTGATAATATTTGTTGAGATTCTAAAGCTTGAAAAGTTGGTACCCTAAGTGTTTCAGGTATTTCTATAGCACCCTGTAATATCTGTGGCTGATCATATGACAAAGCCCCTGAAAGTTTATGAGAATCTTTAGGGACCAATTTATAGTCTCTCTGTTGTGTTTCAGTCTTAGAGAACTGCCTTAGATATTCCTGTGATTCTATGTTGGCTAAAACATCCGAAGTTCTTACTATTTCTGTTGTTTTTATCTGTCTTTGTGGAAAGTGATTTTGTCCTGGTACCTGAATATGATCTTGTTCTAATTTAGAAATCTGTATGGGTTGCATGTTAAGACTTAACTTGAGTCTCTGACTTTGATTCCAATGCTCTGATGTAGCAGTATGTTTTTCAGATTTCTGTCGTAGTATTGATATAACAGAATCAGATATCAAAGATGTGGCTGACATGGATGGATACCTTCCTTTTAATATTTGATACTCTAGTAATCGTTTCCTGGCAGTTTCAACAGATTGCTTGTGTAACCTATCAAAAACAAGTAGAAAAACAAGTAATTATTATTTTTTTTAATGAACGAAAAATGTCTTACATTCTCAAGTGTTTATAAATTCAATTTAATAAACAGCAATCTAGGACTGTCCATGATCATGATGGAAAGGGAACAACACTCCTACTGCCCTTGGGGAAATCTCTATCCCAACCTATCTTGGGATACGGAGACTCCCAGCTAGAGTCTCACATAAACCATATAATAAATCCTGAAGACACAGCACACTGTCACACAGAAATTATGCTTAAACTAATACCTGTTTTGTTGTAAAAGCTGCTGTTGATAGTTACGAATCATCTGCCTATGTCCATCTTCATCAGAAATAACAGTGCATGATGCCAGAGCAGTGCCAACCTAAAGAAGAAAAAACTAATTAAAGACACACTTTGGAAGCAAGTACTAAAATATCTCATATAATGTTCTGTAATTATACATTTTCATGTAGCTTTGTACTTTATAATTAGGCACGTGGGACTAGGAATGTAGACTGGTGGTAGAGCGTTTGGCTAGCATGCACAAGATCCTGGCTTCAATCCCCAGCACTGTAATAATAAGTAAAAGCACCAAGTGTTCTTAAAAACAAACTTATCTAGTGGTGATGTCTGCTCAGCTCTAAACATTACAAATAAGTTAATTAAATAAAAGAAAAAACAGAAAAAAGTCCAGCACAGTAGCACATGCCTGAATGCAGCACTTGGGAGGCTGACACAGGACATGGAGAATGGAGACCATGCTGGGCTACACAGCAATACCCTACTCAACAACACCTCAGTGAGACCAGCTAGTACAACTAGTGCGGAGTCCAAAAGCTCAACATACACGTTTCCCACAAATCACAGTCTTACCTATATTAGCGCTCAACAGAAACTAAAGAAAAAATCCACAGGTTGTTGCAAATGTAGGTTATTAAACGGTCAAATAAACAGAAAGGCATTTAACTTTCTGACTGTCATGACCATATTTCTTGACCCCCCCCGCAATGGTTTATATAGGGATGAGATTTCCTGCATCCTACCTTAGTCTGTTGAATATTTTTTCTTTTTTCTTCTTCCAGCTGAGCCTTGAAGCAATCAGTTTCTAATCTTAACTTTTGTTGTTCAATTTGTTCCAGTAATTCTAACTGCTTTTGCTTTTGCTCTTCTATTTCCATTATCTAGGTGATAAAAAATACTATTGATCTGTTAACAACAAGCTCATACAAAAGAAACTTTATATGCATTACATTAAAAAAGAAATAGGTCTTGTCAGCAAGTGGATCTATTATCTATGAAGTGTTGCTAGCACTGCCAAAGGATGACAGGAGGAAGAGATGGGAAAAGAGGAAAAGAAAAAAGGGAGAGAAGTATAAAGGAGCAGAGAGAAAAGAAGAAATAATCATATTAACTACTTCTGTTTTTTGGGAGTGTGGGAAAACCGTGATCACCACAAAGAACCACCTCCAGCTACCAACACTGAGCAGCCAAATTCCATGTTCACATCTATAAACTCACTTCTTTATTTTATGAATGAATGACTAAAAAATTAAATATTGAGGCCTTCTGTAATACTTTGATTTCTATCTGGAAGCCAAAGGACTAGTCTTTTGTTGCCTGCCAAATGCAGTACTTAGTGTAGTCTCTGACACATAAATGTTTACTAAATAAGTGGAAAAAGGAATGCATTTGCAGTTTTATAAAGAGACTTCTATTAGAGTTAATGAGGAATGATTTGTTTTCAAAATAAAAAATGTCTCAGCCTGATCCTTCCTTATTCTCAATCAGGCAATAATGGCTATAGCAAGCTCCTCTGCGACAGGAGCCACTGAATTTAGACTCTACAGGCTTGTGGCAACTCTAGAACTGTATTATTAATAGACATCATTAGCTAAATAGGACTATTTAAGTTTTTTGTTTTGTATTTTCTGTGGTGCTAGGGATGGAACCCAGGGCTTCATGCATGCTAGGCAAGCACTCCACTAAGCTACATTCCCATACCACATGTGACTGTTTAAATTTACATTAATTCAAATTAAAATTTAAAGTTCGGTACTTCAGCTACACTAGTCACACTAAGTATTCAACAGCTCACCTGGTTAGCAGCTACCACACTGGGCATATGATATGGAACATCACATTATCGTTATGAAAAGGGCTACTGGATACCACCATTCTAGATTAGAAAACTTCTAGGAAATACTAGCTCAGAGAATCCCACTTCTCAATTGAAAAGAAATCATTTACTACAAGCAGAAGCTGGAAGCCAGTGGCTTACACCTGTCACCCTAGCTACTCAGGAGGCAGAGATCAGGAGGATGAGGTTCAAAGCCAGCCCGGGCAAAGACTTCTCAAGACCCTATCTCGAAAATACCTAACACAAAACAGGGCTGGTGAAGTGACTCAAGAGGTAGAGTGCCTGCTTAGTAAGCGTGAGGCCCTGAGTTCAAATCCCAGTACCATCTCAATTAAATAAGTATAGATGAAACCAAACCTGTAGTTGTGGAGGCTGGCATGATGGAATGCGACTGTAATCCTTGCACTCGGGAGGCAGGAGGATCATGAATTGAAGTTGCAAGCCTGTGCACGATACAGAGCAAAGAACCATGTCTCAAGAAAACAAAACAAAGCAACTCCTTCCTCCAGACTAAAGGGGAGTACAGACATGACAACTAGATACAGTTTATAATCTCAGACTGGATCCCATCCCAGAGGGAAAGAATCCTATAAAAATACTGCCAGCTGACTGAATTAGAAATGAATATAGATTAAAGTACTGGATCAACGGTAAACGTCCTGAATCTAATATCTGTAGTATGATTATGTGAGAGGATGTCCTTGTTATTAAGAAATACATATTGAAGCCAGGCATGCAGAGGCCACATGAACTTACTGTTCAAGCCCAGCATGGGCTATGTAGAAAGAACCAGCCTCAAAAAAAAAAAGCAAAAGATATTGATGTATTAAGGGGTGAAAAATGAATGATCTCAATCAGTAGTAGAGTGCTTGCCAGCACCACAAAAAGAAAGCAAAAAGCTTTTTTCCCCTTTAAAACACTACTTTTCAAAAATCTTTTGGGATTACAAGGCCCATTTAGTATCTAACATTATGACGAGGACTTGGTACTTCAACAAATACTTAAGGCACTGTGTCAGAAACAATACAGGATCAACTGAACTTTTTTCTCTTTTGGTTGGACTGGGGCTTGAACTCACGGATTTGCACTTGCAGAGCAGGCACTCGCAAAGCAGGTTTTCTACCACTTGAGACACACCACCAGTCCATTTTGCTCTGGTTATTTTAAGAGATGGAGTCTTGCAAACTATTTGCCTGGGGCTGTCCTCAAACCTTGATCCTCCTGATCTCAGCCTCCCAAGTAGCTAGAATTACAGGAGTAAGCCACCTGTGGCCAGCTAGGATCAACTGAATTTTTTAAAGAGAGTCTCTGCCTTAAAAAAAAAACCTTATAAAAGGTTTAAAATATAAAATATAAAGCAGACACAGTAAGGGTTAAATCAATAGTGTAAGTGAAAACAAAATAACATTTTATCAAATGTTTATGTAAGACAAACTAGAAAAACATGAAATCAAAAACAGCTGGAAAGTAAGACAAATTACATGATTCAAACAAAATCACAGTACCTAGAAAAAGAAAACATTTAAAATAAAAATTTCAAATGACCTGTTTCTGCCTTGCTGATGTTCTAACTGACTGCTTCTTCTTGAGGATGAAGTAGAACTGAGCTCTGAGCGACAGTCGTGCCAGGGGAGTCTCATTTACTTCTGTGGGAATCCCCAAACAAAAATTATTTCAGCTTAGAATTCTGAACCCACTACAATCCCTGTCGTTCATTTATTACATTTAATCTTACTGGGGAAAGACCTGATGCCTAGCAAGTGATACAAATGTGAGAAAAAGAAATACCTTGTTCTTTTCCAAAGTCTGTTTACATGAAAGTGGTTTATCTTCACTAGAAAGTGGTCCAGACTCAATTGTCAATGTATCACTTTCAACAACTGCAACAGATGATACAATTGTTTTATAACATACTGTCAAGCTTGAAGGGTGCAAAATAATAAAAATTTACAGATTAACGTAGTCTACTTTAAGTAGAACACTTAGCTAAGATTCTGTCATCTTCTTGATGACCAGATATATTATTCCATCGAACACATGCCTAATGGAAGACCAAAATCATAAACAAAGAAAAAGTAAAGATCTGATTAAAAATGCATGCTGCAGGGTTTTCAAACACAGAGAAAAGCGTGAAATAAGCAAGGTATCAAAGTTAAAAAAGAGAAGCTGAGGAAATGTCAGTGTATCGTTGATATATTTAGATACTAGGATTTTTACTGTTTGTGAAAACCAGAACAGAGAAGAAACTCGAAGCAATTTACTCTCACTGTTATCAGGATAACCAGATACTCTTCTGGCAGCACTCACTCACTTATTCACTCAGTCTTTTGGCACCTAGATGCTGGGGACACTGTGGTCAATGAAAACAGGTTTCAAGGAGTTTCACAGTGTGTGCGGGAGTGGGGGTGAAACTTCATGTAATATCCAAAAGACTTGTAGAATTAGAAATTGTGATAGGTACTATATAAGAAAAGCAAACTACTATGCAATACAGTATATTAAAGATTATATCGATTAGTGGCTCAGATTTGATTTCTCTGAAGACATGCCCTTTAAGCACACACCTAAAAGGTAAGGAAGAATCAGCTAGTAAGGCATAGTAAAACAGAAAATCTATCCAAGAGATCAGCAGGTATGAAAGCCCTGTGAGAATAAAGATGCTTGGGTCACTCAATGAACTGAAAGGAAATCCATATATATGGAGTAGTCAGAGAAAAAGGGGAAGAAAGAAGCAAGATGAGAATGGAGAAACTCTATTCATACAACCTCTTTCAAAAAACTTGGCTATGGACTGGATATACCAGTCCCTTCTATAGCCCTCTTCTCTATGAATTCTCTCCCCCTGAAGATTGCTTCCATGCCCATGGCTTTAAATATTACATATATGTCTGATTTCCCACATTACTTCTTACTTTAAAAGATATTCGATTAACTTAACAAAATACTAACTTTTCTGGGCACATTTTATGTATGACACTAGACTCTGAGGATACTACAATGAACAAAACAAAGATCCTACCCTCACGCGTGGGATGCAGAGGGGTAGGTGTTAAGAAAATCAGCAGAAGATGAAAAGTAAATTTACTGCTCATGAGATATGGGAAAAGCTATGGAGAAAAAGCAGGGTAAGGGAGATAGAAGTGAAGGGTGTGGGGTACAACTGGACAGGGGAAAGGATGCTATCTTATATAAAGTGGTCAGAGAAGCTCATTGAGAAAGTGAAAAGTTGAATAAACATATGAAGGAAGGAGGGAGGAAGCCATGGAGAACTCTAGCAAAAAAGGAATGAACAATTACAAAGACTACACAAGCCTATGTTTGTTTGTTTTAGAGATAGGGAGAAGCTGGCATTTAAGTACAATGATTGGGGAGGGAGTGTAGCAAAAAACGAAATCAGATAGATGGAAAGAGCCGAGTGTGGGCGTGTGTGTGTGTGTGGTGTGTGCGCATGCTCAGATCACACACACAGCTTGAAGCCACTGTAAACAGTTTGCTTTTTACTGAGTAAAGTAGCCATTGGTGGGCTTCACCAGAAAAGGCATGGGCTGACCTGTGTTTAACAGATCACTCTGTGAAGTAGGTTCTAGCAGAAAATGGCAAAAAGCTGAAGATAGCAGACTACTACAAGTAATGGGAAACAATGTGGCTTTGAACTAGGATGGCAAGTGGTGAGATATAGTCAGGATTTGGATAGATTTTTGAGTATGAGGCCAACATGATTTACTGAT